TCTGCGCCGTACGCAACGCAGCCCTCGCAGCGTCCTCGTCCCGCATCTCGACAAACGCATGGCTCTGCGTCTTGCCCTTACGGTCCAGAAGCACATGCACGCGTTTAACAGCGCCGGGCTGCTTTAGCCAAGCCTTGACCATAGGCGGCGTGACGTCCTACATTCCAGAAAGACCAGCGAGGTGTTTGAGGATTAGAGTATGGCGACGGGGTTCGAGGAATTGGATATGCGCGCAAGGAGTCGGGGACAGCCGAACACGTGCCGCGGAGAAGGGATGAGGGTGAACAAAGGAGATGGGCGCGAGGGTGCGGCGGCAACGAGGTGATGATTGAAATAAATGCATACCGACGATCAGCGCGCATTCAAACATGTCAAAGGGAAAAAAGTACGCACCCAGGGCACGTTGTCGATCCGTAAGACGGTGCTGCCGGCTTTCCCGCTATTGGTGCGCGGGGCGGGCGATGGGCGGGCGTATGTCGGCTGTTGCTGAGGACGCGGCTGGGATGGTGCGGCGGTTGAGACGGGCGCAGACTTCATCTGGAAGTTGTCGACTGCACAGCGGCAGACGGCGCACTCCATGTTCTTCTCGCCGACAATGTTGAGCGCAGAAGTGAAGCATGCCGAGCAAAGAACATGGGCGCAGGGTGCGAGAGCGACGAGCGTGCTGGCTCTGTTGCCGCAAACAGGGCACGCCGCCGGGTCCACCTGCGCCGCGGGAGGCTGTAGCTGCTGTTGCTGTAGCTGAGGCTGCGGCTCCTGATATTCGTCCATCGAGTCGAACGAGGCCTGGCGCTGATGATAAAACTTGGGCGGCGCAATCTCATACTCGTCAAACCCATCCACAGTCCGATTACGGGCATGAGACGCAGAGAAAGCATGAGGATACTGCTGGTGGCCGTGGTCGTTCTCGTCGATGTCAAAGAGGTCGCTGGTGGGGTACGTCGGCCGACGACGGGGGTAAGCCGGGTCGGTCATCGAGCCCTTTGCCCTCAAACGGTCGTCCCTCCTGGGCGGCGTGTTCAGCGAGCCGAGTGTGCGTCGTGCGGGCGTTGTGGGCAGCATCGGCGGCGGTGCGATCGACTGGTACGGCATCCTCTCCTCCTCGTTCTCGATGTCGGCCCGCCCGCGCCGGTACGCCAGCGGCGACACTCCCAGCGCAGCTGCAGTACAGTATCAGCAATCGTACTACTTGACATGTCAAATAGACAGTGATATACCTAGAGGATCAAACTCGTGCTCATAGTCGAACTTTTGGCGCTTTCCTTCGTGGTGCGCGGGGTAGTCTTTCGCAAAAGATCAGATCAGTTTGTGCCAACACGCGCACAGGACAAAGCGACCCACTCTCGTCGTCGTCAAATGCCCTGTCGACGCGGATCCCATGTTCGGTGGCACGCGCCCGCCAGTCATCTTCCGGCATACCCTGTCCTCTCGACCGCCGAGCAAGCGGGCTCTGAGACGCCGCGTACGCCTGCAGGCTCTTGATGCTTCCAGTATGCGAGTCGGGCGTGGTAAATGCCGAGCTGGCACGGTCCGACCATTGCGGCGTGTTGAGGCTGAGTGTCGAGAAGGGGGACGAGCCCGCGTCCGACGACGAGAGCGGAGACGGGAATATATCTTGAAGTCTCGACATGCGGTGCGCTGCTGCTGCTGTACGCGGTACGCGAGCAGGCGTCGAGTACAGCTTGCCATCTGGAGTCACGGGTGCCGACGCTGGGGCCATGGTCTTGCAAGCTGTCGGTCTTGAAGGGAGGGAAGAAGGAAAGGTCGAGGATGGTGGTTGCTGCGAAGGTCGGACACTCCGATATTCATGTCGAACTGGTCACGCGCGTTTTGATTTCTTTCCCACCGCTGCGGCGTCATACACGAGGCAGCATTGGTCCTCCGTTCGTAAGTAGCAGCAACGTAGCTTGGTACTCTGAGATGCACGGATGCGGTAATGGGCAAACAGGAAAGATGGAACGGATCTATGCGGCGAAGAATTGACCGAGAGTACATAGGTACGTAATATCTACTCTACATATCGCGTCTTCCTTCCAGATCAAGCCCACAGCATCGTGCTATCAGTACACCAGACGCGGGAAATTGTAGAGCGCGTAGGTAAGGTTTGGCCTCAACTACTGAGGTGGCCGCAGAAAGAGACAGGGGGAGGTTCTGGGAGGTCTGCGGGGAAGATGAGGGTGGGAAGCGAGAGACGGCAGCGCGGGAAGGACTATGAGCCGCACAAAAATGCAGGATACAAAACACAGCGCGCTGAGCGAAAATACTGAACGAGCGAGCAACTCTATCTGGTACGAGGTGACCGCTGAGGAACTTGCCGAGGAATGGGTGTTGGGCCGATTGGCGGGTATGATCCACGCTGCACTGCGGAGTCGCTGTATGCGCGCCGCACACAATGAAGACCCCGCACCCGGAGCATTCATTGCAGAAAGGAGTGATTGCATGTATACTAATGAACAAATCGATGCGTGCGGGTCTACCAAAGAACGTAATGTAGTAACCTAAGATAATCACAGAAAAACGACGAGTGGCACCAGACTGCCTGATCCAGCGAACAACACCTCGGCGCCACACAACCCAAGGTCCTGCGCGAAGACTCTCCCCGTCCAACCCGATGCCCGGGTGTGCACCATATGCAGAGGCGGCGACCTGCACGCCAGACCAAAGACCCCGCGCATACAGCCCTATTGTCCGCTCGATCGAGCTCCGCTGGCCGCGTCTCCGTCAGCCGCACCTTGGGCGAGAAGGCGAGGCCTACTCCCCGTCCGCCCATTCTCTAGGTATCCCTCTCCTCCGCTTCCCTCTCCCCGCTCCGTCTCCTCCACTTTCACCCTCAACCCCTCTAGAGCTCATACTCAAATGTCTCCTCAAACTCTGGACGCTCGCCTGTCTTCTCGGGCTCCCAGCTCTCAATAGCATCCCAAGATCGACCTCTCTCCCCGTCCCTTCACTTTCGCTCGAGCTACTAGCCCCACTACTCCACTCAAACGCCTCTCCCTCCGCCTGACCATGCAAACTAAGACTGATCCCCGTCCCGCCGCCTTCACGATCCCGATTCCGGCCCTTGCCTTCACTCTTCCTCCTCGTCGGAGCTCTTCGTCTACTCGTACGCTCCTTGGAGCCCATCGCAGCTCCGCTCCCTCTCGCTCTGGGTAAAGGATACGATACCGCCGGCGGACTCGGTAAAGGCGATTGAACCTTTGTCTTCTTCTGCGCTGGGGCAACCTTCCTCAACCCACGTATACTTCCTGGCTCTTCGCGTACCCGACTCGTCGCTCTACTCGCCGGAGCACTGCGACATACCACACGAGTACGCGACGCTTCTGCCACCGCAGCATGACTTGCGCCTAATAGTAATGCAGCAGGCGGTCGTGCTCTCGGGCGTCCGCGTTCTTGTGCCGAAGATGATGTCGAGTCCGTCCGCACAAGCGATGATATCGTCGAGTTTTGCCTCGCCATGCCCACAGAAGACCCTTGTCGTAAAAGCGTAGACCCAGCTCTCGATAACGACCCAGACCCAGATTTCGCAGGTCGAATCGTAATCTCCGAAGCGCTCGCACTGATATTACTCCCCAATCTTCTATCTCCATCTTCAACATCGCTCGAACCCAACGCAGGAGACTGTGGTCGTCCGACATGTGCACCAGGTACACCAAGTAATGCACGAGCAACGCTTTCCAGCCATGTTGCTGGTAACGGAGGTTCAGTTGGGTCTGGTGCACTCTTTTTTCTTCGGTGCTGCGGCGGAGCCTGGTATGAAGATGAAGGAGACGGTGCGTCGGACAAGTCGACAGTATCAACGTTGCGGGAAAGAGGAGGCGGCCTCCGTGCACCGCGATCACTTCGCGTACGAGCCATAGTCGGTGCACTGGCCATATGCCGCAACATTGCCCGAGCAGGCGAAGCTTGAGCATACGTCGGATGCTGAGACGCAGACATGCGCTCAGGCGGAAGAAGATGCGATACACGAGTATTTCGCGTCGAAGTTGTTCGCGTGAGCGGTTGAAGGTCTGGATGTGCAGAACGTGGAGATGCATGAAGGGGATGTTGGTAGTGCGTTTGTAATAACGGCTGTGTCTGTGCGCGTGAAGGGCCCGCCTGAGGTTGAACCTGAGAAGTCGAAGTACGCGTACGCCCACGCGGGCTATAACTCTCGCCGTCGCTCATTCCCTGCATTCCCTCGTCCGGAAACCGCCGTATTCGTGCACTCGGACTGGCGGGCACACTCCAACTCTCGCGTTCCTCCCTCTTTCTCCTTCCCTCTTCCCCAACCGTACTCCTTCCGGCAACCAAGCCACTCAGAAACCTCATAACGCCACCTCTCTTCTCCTTCCCATCTTCCTCCTCTTCATCACCATCGTCCATACCCGCACCAGGCTTCTGCGGCGTAATGACTCTTGTCTCTTTGTAGCCCGCTTCCTTCAATAGGTCTTCCAATCGTTCGTATGTTCTACTCGTACCGCGGCGGTGTAGTGGTACGCGTCCTACTTCACCACCTTTGCCTAGTGCGGCGGGGTACATCGTGCGCGCGCGACGCGGGGGCGTTTGGGGTGGTGAAGACGTAGGGCCAGAGGATGAAGAGTACATAAGCGACGGTGGTGAGGCGGATGCCGACTATATATTACGCGTGCTGCATCAGTGTTGTGAAGGCTGGTACGAAGTCGTGGCACGTACCATGGTTCTTCAATACTCCGCGGAAACGAAAGAAGGACTGTTGTGTATCAAGACGCGTCGGGTCGCGTCTCGCAATTCGCGTTCGGTACAGAGAAGAGTAGCGATGGGTAGTAAGTCGTGAACGGCGGAGAAGAGCAAGAGCGAGATGTATCAGACGCAGGCGATGTGCATGGGCGCGGTTGATGAGAGTGCCGTTTGAATCTTTCTGCGTCCGCTGTGGTCGCCCGGCACCTCTTGTGGACGCGTCTCAAACATCCGTGGAGTTGCCGCCGGCCCGGCTTAATCGCGCTTACACAAACAATATATACGTGTGGCAAAGAATAAATATGTCCCTGGTAGTATATCGGCTAGTACACCCGCCTGTCATCCAAAGGACCGCGGGAGAGCGGGGTTCGACTCCCCGCCAGGGAGATGTTATGCTCTCAGCGTCTCTTTCCTTTTTTTGCGTCGGCAGAGACCATTAGAACGGAGGAAACGATATTTGAGATAGTCCGAGATCTCGTATTTCACCGTAAGGAAAGCGTATGTGCCAAAAGTGCATGCAGAAAGGTTTCAGCAACTGCCCATCCCCCGTAAGGGATTCAGGACCCAAGAGTAATAAGGAAATCGATCTCTACGGATCCGCCGCGACTTGGACGTGTGTCACAATTGCGTACTACTGGTATTCCACCGCTTCACCATCCCAGCGACTAGCTCAACCAAACACATCCTGGTGGCCTATGTTGACGCACTCCCCGACTACTTATAGCAACGTCCTCGTTCAAGAAGCTGCTTGCGAGCCGTCATTTCGCCACCCGCTGTTCCACCCGCACTCGTTCTAGCAACCGTTTGTGAGCAAACATGACGCGCAGGGCGCCGGTACTCTGCGATGGGTTCTCGTCCGGGTTTGCGGTGAATCTGGGCATAAAAGGAACGTCGTGTGTTCAGGTTCAACGTGTAACAAGGCATCACACACACACATAGAAGCGAGTGGCGCATCTCCCTGCATCCGCAAGGGAGGTCGGCATATGTATGCTGAGCGTTCCGACCTTCAGTATCCTGGGTCGACCCGAGCCATAAGCAAGCATATCCTTAGCGACCAGGAAATCCGACTGTGTTGATCATATGTCTCCTGCGTCCAGTGAGCTATTGGGAATTGGGAAGGATCGAGCCCAGTGCAGACTGAAGAGCCGCGCTGCTTGATCTTGAGGTGGACAGGACGAGGTGAAGATCTTGCAGCCAATATCGAGAGTCGCGCAAATGTAATGCACCGCGAGGTGTACAAGCTTCGCGCATTCGTATTTTGAAACTATGGTGGAAAGAGACACCCGCAAAGATGCAGAGCAAGACCATGTGGCGAGAGCGAGACAAACAGTAGCTGAACCCAGTCGCTGTACGTGCAAGCGGAGAAACCGTGCAGTCCCGTCGAATGTCCCGTCGAAGTTGGCGGAAATGAGACCGCACCCAGGAAATGATGGCCGTGCCAATGAAGGGCTTCCTCGGGTGACCGGGTGGATAACGTAGCGCAGAATTCAGCATCTTCTTGCGAATAAACCATAAGGAAATAACGGTGATGATCACATAGCCAGGGGACATCGAGAGAGCCATGCCAGTCATCGACGAGTAGCGGATGGCACAGACCCAAGTGGGTGTTTTGATGGCGCTGTTAGGTTCTGTGACGCATCTCGGTTTATGAGAGGATTTCGAACCCGGTATCTGCTCTTATCACCCAATATGGCAACAGATGCCGAAAGGGAAGGAGGGGAGAACCCTCGGTCCACAACTTGCCACCTTGAGTGGTCGAGTAATGGACGGCCAAAACTCAATAGTCCAGTTGAATACAGTGACGACGTGGGTAGTTCGGACCTGGTGTGAGCCTGTTTGGTTATCGCAGTGTTTTACTGTCGTCTTTGATTTTATCAGTATTACGCCTGCTCGTGGCAGCACAAATGATCCACTGACGACAATCAGGGGGTTCGAAGTAAAGCGCAAACGTGGGCGTGCGTGGCATTACTACTTTTAGATGCATCCCTAGCCTGACATTGACAATACCGACGGCAATACCTCCCATACACACAACTCTGTCAAAGTCAACTCTGTAAATCGATGTGCTGCATAGCCGCGGCGTGCACGACGATGATCCGCCATGGTGGTGCGAGTTAAAGTTCGAAACCGTGTGACCGTAGGTTGCGATCCAAGGCTCGCCTTCACTACTTCCCTTCGCCCTGACCACCATCATGCATCATGGGTAGCCCCGTTTTCACAAAGACTACGCTTGCTAGCATATTACAGAAAGATTCCGCACGTAAAATCTGTCTAAACGTTCGCGCGTCTGCATGAGTTGGGGTCTGCGTCTCGAGGAATATATCGGGAAAGGCACTGGCAAACGCGCGCGCTTCTTCGACTTCCCCTTGAAGACTTGGGCCACAGGAACATCGTTGCTCTGCTATCTCACTCCGCTAGCATGTGCATCAAGTCGCAGGCATTGTGCACAACGTTGTTGTGTCTGAGAAAGATAACAACGATATTGACGACTCCTCACACCCACACATGGAGATCCTTCGGGTTTGGCACGAGCTCTACGACGTCTGGATTCGCTCATGCAGCAGTTGAGCATCATGATCGACTCAACAAGCATGTGTATGAGTGGCTCGCCGAATTGGGAGCTGGAATATACTTCCGCGCGGTAGCGAATCGAACCGCCAGCTCGCCGCTGAGGGGCCAAGCGCTGGCAATGATTATATTTGCGTGAGTCGTGCTATCGCTTGCGCACTCGAGGCCTACTAACGAGAAGACTAGAATAGCCAGTTTTCCGTCCGCAAACTCTAATCAACGACTTCCACCGTAGTTAGTCCAAATCTCGTCCTCGGCGACTCCTTGATTCCTATGGGTGTGGGAACAGAGAAGGATGGCAGTGACACTAGTACTGGATAGCTATGCGATGCGTCCAAGATTACTCAATCAATCCACGGCAGCAAGCCCGCCGGAAACAGTGTCTATATCACGGAGACATCTACTATCCGTGTCCACGGGTCAGACTGCATGAAACCTGTCTGGGCTGCCGCTAAGTTAAAGTTCGATCTTCCCAGCGGGACGTTTCATTCCACGCCCATGATCACTAACTGTGCCCTCTTCCTTAGTTTGGTGGCCTCGGCTCCTTCGATAGGCGTCAACTTGTGAGTGAAGTCCCCCATAATCCGCGCAGAGCGGCACCCTCAATCATACATGCCCTTATTCATCCATCCATGATCTGTTCATCCTCTTTCTACTTTCATCTCCGCGAGCATGCATCGTTGATGCACAGCATTCCCGCACGTCCGATACGTATGATAGTCTCCCGCTTTGCAACTCCCATGACGGGAACGGATTAGAATCCACAATGACGAGCAGGGAAGAGTGGCTTAGATGTGCCAGGCCTAGTACCAGTCGCGCTTTGTGGAACCCTTCGATCGAACTGCAGGAGATAACCAGAAGACTCGAGCCTCTCACGTCTCGCACTTGCATCCGACCTGAACATGTCTTCCCCCTCGCCCGTATTTCCGCCAGACGCACCGACTGTGACTCCATTGAGTCGCGGGCTTGTGCTGACTGCGTGCTTCCTCGCGCAGGCCATCGACTCGTACAATGCCGGTGCCTTCTTCATCGCCATCCCTCCAATTGCCTCCCAGCTCGGCATCGACAGTGATACCTCGGTATGGCTGATCTCGGCATACCAGCTGACTTTTGCGTCGTTTTTACTGGGCAGTGGCCGGCTTGCAGATCTATTTGGACCCAGTTTGTGTTGTATTCGTGTGTTTGAGTGTACTGCCCTGACTACCTGTGACAGAATATGTGTTCATTGGTGGACTGCTCGTCATGAGCTTCACCTCACTCGGTGCAGGCTTTGCACGTTCTGAGGTTCCGCTTATCCTCCTGCGAGCTATTCAGGGCATAGGTCTGTCCATCTCTGCTGTCTGTCGACTGTACAAAACTCACTGCTTGCAGGAGCTGCTATGAACCTTCCCTCTGCCATTGCTCTTATAATTCGCCTTTGCCCTGAGCAACCTGGCCAGGCCCGTGCACTTGCGGTCTTCTCCACCATTTCCGGTGTTGGTGGCAGTGCATAGCTTCAACTTCCTTTCAAAGATACACACTGACTCTTTGATTGGATTCAGTTGTCGGTGTCTTTATTGGGGCAGCTTTTGTCGTGGATGCGTCGTGGCCCTGGGTCCTGTACTTCACAACCATCTACACCTTCGCTGTCGCTGCCCTTGTTCTTGCATGTGCACCCTCCCAACTCGCTCAGCCAGCCCCTGGATTTGCTCCCAATAGTTCCGCACACAAACGTGTAGGCTTGGGGCGGATTGACATCATCGGCATCTTCTTGCTCACATCCGCCCTGATTCTATTCATCTTCGCTGTCACAAGTGGGAGCGCTACCGGGTGGGGATCAGCACGTGTTATCGCACCTCTCATCATCTCTGTCCTGCTTGCTGCTGCATTCACATTTTGGGAACATTGGGTAGATGAGATCAATGCTGTTGTGTGCGTAATCTTTCTCGCCTCGATGTGGTGTACAGAGCTAACATATAAACACTCCAGACCTCCGTCAATATGGCAGTTTAAGAATTTTCCCATCCTCGTTGGGGTTGCCTTGTTGCCCATCATGTGGTGGGCTGCAGTACAATTCCTCTTCTCCTGGGTCTGGCAACAGGACTATGGCTATAGCAGCGTCAAGACGGCACTACACATACTCCCCCTCCTCATCGTGTGTTTTGTCGCTGGACCTGCCACCGATGTCCTGCAGAAGAAGGTCCCGCTCAAATGGGTCATCGTCCTGGGCCAGTTCCTGCTCATAGTCGGGAACATACTACTACCTTTTGCGGATGGCCCAAATAAGTTCTGGCGCTTAGTTGTTCCGGGAATTATCATTGCCTCGTCGGGCAACCTCTTCATTCTCGCCACAGCCAAGTACGCTCGGTTATAATTCACCTCTGTCACTTGAGTCAACTCATGTATGCCTTCTTTAGTGTTGCACTCTTTCACGACTTCCCAGCCTCCAAAGCCGGAACAGCTGCTGCCATCTTCGCCTGTGCTAATCAGCTCGGCAGTGCAACGGGTTCAGCCATTGTCGCGACCATTCAGGCCAATGTTGGTTCATCGTCAACCGACTTCTCGGGAACCGCGGCAAGCCTTTGGTTCCTTCTTGCCGTCAATGCTGTTGCGGCACTTGCTATCCTGGTGTTCATGGAGCATGTACCTGCAACAGAGGTGGGTACGTTCGTTGAAGCCAAACAATCTGTGGAGGGGTTGGTTTCTAATGAGGATACCTACGAGATGGTTGCGACTAAGAGGGAGATCAGATCTGTGTGACAAATAGCTTAACGATCTTGTATCCTTGTTTGTATGCATGGTGCATTGAAGACTTCGTTACACTGTACTTCTGCCAGTAC